GATTATATACCATTCATAACTATGGGTAAGGAATGAATTTGTAACCAAGCAAGGGATAAAGGTAATTATCAAAGTTAAGATAGAGAATCTTGATTATATACATTTGAAAAGTTTTTCTTTCTTTCTTTTTTTTTTTGGCTCGGCAATGGGGTTAAGTGACTTGCCCAGGGTCACACAGTTAGTAAGTGTCAAGTGTCTGAGGCCAGATTTGAACTCAGGTCCTCCTGACTCCAGGGCTGGTACTCTATCCACTGCACCACCTAGCTGCCTCAAAAGTTTTTACACAAAATTAAATATATCTAGGATAAGGGAAGCAGATATCTGGGGGAAAAATATACATCAAATAACTCTGATGAGGTCTTGATGTCTAAGATTTACAGATAACTAGCAGATAAAAGCCAAAGGAGAAGCGGTCAAAGGACAGTTATCAAAAGAAGAACTGCAGACTATTAACAATCATATGAAAGAATGCTCCACATTGCTAATAAGACAAATACATATCAAAACAAACAAAGTTTCATCTTACACTCAGCAATTGGCAAAGATGGGAATGATCAATACTGGAGGTGTTATGAGAAGACAAGCATACTAATGCATTGTTGGTGAAGCTGTGAATTGGTACAACCACACTGAAAAGTAATTTGGAATTATGAAAACAAAATTATTAAAATATGTATTTCCTTTGAAAATATCTTTCCCTTTAAAATAACTATTCCCCACATGTATGCTAAGCACTTACCAGGGGTGTTCTGAAGCTAACTCACATCGGCTTACAAAAACCAATTGTTAGATTTTCATTGTAAGCATTTACCCTTTGGAAATTGGCAGGTGTTCCTAATCAAGTTTTGATTTGTTGTTTTATTGATTGCATAGATAAGAAAGTGGTGGAGAAAATGTTAATAAGGCAGATTAAACTTGAAAGTGTCATGCATACATTTTTTTTCCTGGAGAGTTGGTTGTTAAACATTTACCAGAACTTCACCTTTGTATGTATCCCAAGGAAGTCAATGACAAAAGAAAGCCTCTATATACACTTAAAAATTTATAGTAGCATTTTTTGTGGTTGCAAAGAACTTTAAGCAAACAGATTCTCATTGAATAGGAAATAGCTAAACAACTGTGGCACATGAATATAGTAGAATATTGCTATGTTCTAAAAACAAGGCTTAATGAATATAGAGAAACATAGAAAGACATGTGAACTGACACAAGGTACATTAAGCAGAGCCAGGGAAACAACATACACAATCACTATAACAATGGAAATGGAAAGAACAGTAACCATAATATAATCAAAACTCAAAGTTTCAAAATTATGAAGAGCAAGCTTGGCCTCAAAGAAGAGATATGAGATGACACTTTCCCCTTGCCCTTCTCCCTTACAGCAGCTGGGGGTCCACAGGAGTGGAACATTGAATATTAGATTTTTGTTGTTGTTGTTGAATGGTTTGCTGATCTTTTCTTCTTCCTGTTTTAGAAAAAAAAATCTGTTACAAAGCATTGCTTTCTGGTAGAAAATAGGGGATATTTTGGGGATGGTTCACATCTGGTACAATAAATCACTCAGATCCTAAGGGGTCAGAAAAACAATCCCTTTAATAAAAACATGCAACAATCCCCAGGTAAAAGGCAATCCATAAGACAGTAAAAAACAGCCCAGCAAAGTAAAAGCCAGGGGCAAGAAATTAAAAGCAGTCAGCAAAGAAATTCCCTGGGATGTCAGAACCTCTGCCCAAAATCCTAAAACTTTATATATATTCCTTACCCGAAGAGACCACAGCTATATCCCAAATCAATCCACCTCAGGACAAAATTCAGTAATGCCAGGTCTTCTCCACAGCCAGGGTTGGTGATATGGAGATTAACTAAAGCTTCACCTATTCCACCAGTGTCCTCCAGGACAAAACGTAACATATCTGTAACAAAAGGATACTTGATGGGGAGGTATATAAAGAGGGCGGAGAGTGAAGGTGAAGTAAAAACAAAAGACATCAAGACAGCAATAAAAATCTATTTAACTTTTTTTTAATACAAAACTCAGTAATCCTTTAAATCAGAGGCTCTAAATGATTAGGAGAGGCCAGATGAGGGACACCTCTTGATGAGGTCATTCCAGATGGGATCAATGGGGCCTTCCTGGAATGGGTTCACCATGGTAGGGAGCCTCATGCCAATCTGCATCCTGGGTCAGTTATTATAAGGAACTCAAACAGGACCTGTATAAAACTCATAAATCCATTTGTAACCTTTCATTTGAAAATCCAGAAGTCCTCAAACACCAGTTGGAATTCAGTGATGGATTTTTCATAGCAACTGAGTAGTGATTTCACAATATTTATTCTCAAATACATAGAATGTTGTCCAATGGGTGGCCAGTCCACTCAAGGGAATAGTCACGAAGCCCACTTTTGTGGGACTTGGACCAGGAAGCTGGGCAGCGCCTCTAATGCCTGCTTGACCATTCAGTTTGGAAGAGAACACCCCCTGTGCTTGGTCATCAAGCAAACCTGTTTGTGTTACCTCTTTCTCCTCTTGTCATGGTGGAAATTCGCCAAATAACTTTGCATATTGCAGCAGTGAAGTGATTAGAAGAAGCTGCCACCTGGTAGGAGCCCAAACCAAGTGAGACTGATCAGCTCTAATGTGCTCCTGGTTGCAAGGCTTTTCTATTGCCTCAGACTGGGGCAAAACTTAGGTATGATGGCAGCTGTTTGTGACCTGGTAGAGGGAAGCAGTCATCTAGGCTAAGTGCATCCTGTGTCCAGGCTAAGCAGTCAGACAGATACCAGAGAACCATAATGCAAAGAGGAGTTATCAAGGGCATAATCCAAGACAGTATAGATCAAAAAAAGGGAGAGTTGTGGAGTGAGGGAAAAGACAAAAGTGCAGTGCAAGGACATGGTAGGACAGTGCCATGCCATAGTAGATATTCTGCAAAGTGGGTAAATGGCTTCCAACAGAATATGGACAATGTGGATATTTGATAGGACATGTACAGAAAAAAAAAACAGAATGGAAGATGGAAGAAAAGTAGTACTGTCCTGTAAGAATGTCAGGAACCCTAAATCCCAGAATGAACTAATGCTGGTGATAAATGCTAAAGACAAAAACTAACAAGCCTATATTGGAGATAAAAAGAAAATGAAAGAAGGGATAGGACCATTCTTAGGGTCTATGGGATGACCTTAACAGTGAAAGTGAAAAGGTTGAATATTCAACTTTTGTTTTACTCTTGTTTTTTCTCAGATTCTATGATTCTTCCAAGAATAGTGCTCTTTGGACAGGGTAGACTAGAAAAGAGAGGAGAGAGAGAGACAGAGAGAGAGAGAGAGACAGAGACAGAGACAGAGACAGAGAGGAGGAATGCAGAATAGTGGGGTCCAACGCTAAACAATCAGAGCCAACCAACAGTAAGCTCAAGCTTGGCCAAGGCTGGGAGTTCTGCCAGGCAGACAGATTGTTCCAGCCACATCTTCCTGGGAAATGTGGGAATTTAACAACACATGTGGGTGTGGAAACATCTATGGGGAGGAGGGGTTAGTTATTAAGGATGTGTGGGGAGCTCATGGGGTACATTTGCAGTGAACAAAACTCCTTGGATCTGGAGATCAGAATCTCTCCCCTTGAGGAAATAACAAAAGAGGATTCCATAGTATGAAACAGAGTGGATCAACTCTAAAGCATGTTCCCAGTTCTTAAGAAGCTTGCAATTTACTTAAGGGAAGTATGAGAAAAGAGCATGAAATGATTTTTTAAAAATGTATGCTTATCAATAGAAAAATGTACCATGCATGGGTTGAGCTGGTGGGTTCTCATAATAGGTAGTGGTAATAGTAGCTCATATTTAGAAGACTTATAACTGCCTTGCCAATAGGGATTTTCCCCCATTCATTTTGTTCGTATCCCTAGTGTCTAGTACAGTATCTGGAACATAGTAGGAGCTAAATAAATGTTTGCTGATTTACGTAATGTTTTATGTCTTGGAAAGTGCTGCCCTCAAAATAACCTAATGGGATAATTAATGTGTCATCCTCCCCAGTGAAGAGATGAGAAAGCTAAGACTCAAAGAGAAGTTTATAAGTGTCAGAGCCTACACTTACCCTCAGAACTTCTGACATAAAGACGACAGCTCTACTGTGCCACGTTAGACAAAGCTATCAGCTCTGTGAGATGTATGGTGAGCTCAAGGAACAAAGCTGTTACCTGCAAATAAGGTCTACATGGCTATTTTTTGCTTGTTTTTCTTTGTTATAAAGGGCTCAGTGGAGGGGTGGAGTTGTTGGGAAGTGAATGGGAGGTTATGTTACAGCAAAATAGGACTAGCTCTAGAGAAAGAGAATCTGGATTCAAATCCTACCTCTGACACTTAACTCTCCATGTGACCTTTGTCAAGTCACTTAAGCTCTGTGGGCCTCAGTTTCCTTGGCTTAAAAAGGAAAGGGGTTGGATTAGATGGCTTCTAGAGTCCCTTCTACTTCTAGATCCACAAATCCTATGACTGACATTTTTAAAAAAAACCTTTAAAATGTTAAAAAAAAATTAATTTTGTTCAGTAAGAAGGATGGTACTTTTTTTTTTTGGTGAGGCAATTGGGGTTAAGTGACTTACCCAGGGTCACACATCTAGTGAGTGTCATGTGTCTGAGGCTGGATTTGAACTCAGGTCCTCCTGACTCCAAGGCTGGAGTTCTAGCCACTGTGACACCTAGCTGCCTCCTTTTTTTGTTTGTTTGTTTGTTTTGGTTTGGTTTTAGGATGGTACATTTTTTTAAAAAAATGTTCCCTGACTGGAGAGCCAGCTTAAGCATAGCTTCTGAGAGAGGAGCAGGTCAGAGTGGGACATAGATCACCCAACCCTCCAAGTGCCTCCACAAGGCCATGCAGTGGCACACACTTAGCACCTGCTCTTGCCAAAAGCAGATCTTGGACCTCTAGGTGCCTTACGTTAATTTTCATGGAATTAGAAAATGATCTTTATTAAAGAGGCCACAACTCCCTTTGTCAGTGACCTTTGTGGGGCAGCATTCTTAGGAGTGACCTTCTCCTCCTCTTGACTGATAAAGCTCTGACTCCCACTTCTACCTCCCTGAGGATCCCTAGCACTGTGTCATTGCGCAGGGTGTATATGAAAGGGTTAAGGAAAGGTGCCACCACACTGCTCAACACTGAGGGTATTTTGTTGATCTCCAAGGTTTCTTTCTGGGAGGGAGTCACATATATAAAGACTGTGATCCCACCAGCAATCACTACAATGGTCAGGTGAGAAGCACACGTGTTAAAGGCCTTCTTCCTCCCACTGGCTGATGGGATTCGTAAGATGGTCATGATGATGTGGGTGTAGGAGTACCCAATGAGAATTAAGGAGATGAGGATGACAGTGGATGACAGCAGAAAATCCATCAGCTCAATAGATGTCGTGTCTGTACAGGCCAGGGCCAATAGAGGCCCACTGTCACAGAAAAAGTGGCTTATGATATTGGAGCCACAGAAGGGTAACCTAGAGATGAGTATGGTGGGGAAAAGAACAGACAAGAAACCACCCACCCATGAGAAAAGAACCAGTCCAATGCATACAGATGGACTCATAATCGTGCTATACCTCAGTGGATTACAGATGGCAGCATACCTATCGTAGGACATGCATGTCAATAGAAGAAATTCCACTGTCCCCAGGAAAAAGTAGAAATAGCACTGGGTGACACACCCAGCAAAGGAGATGGTCTTATCCCCAGTGGCCAAATTGGCCAGAACCCTTGGGGAAATGACAGAGGTGAAGAGGATGTCCAAGATGGAGAGATTGCAGAGGAAGAAGTACATGGGTGTGTAGAGGCTTGAGTAGGACACAACAATGCAGATGATGAGGATGTTCCCCAGGAGTGTCAAGAGATATGTGGGCAGAAGGAACATAAAGAACAGTAGCTCCACTTCTCTGCTGATGGGAAAACCAAGCAGAATGAACTCGGTCACTGTGGTGGTCTGATTCTTCATGGGCAAGGTCATCCTGAATCTTTTCCCCTGAGGAAACAATAGGAAAGAATTCTATGAGATGGATCTGAATAGATGAAGTTGACAACTAATCACTAGGTAACTAGGAAAGGAAAGGAAAGGAAATTTATGGAAAGAGGCTAATACTCTGGGCATCACAACTCTAGGACATACCAGCAAGTTAAGAAATAATACTAGAATTTAGAATCTAAGCTAGAGATATGATCATGGTGTGTGACTGGGCAGAAGAAAAATGTTGAAAATAGAAGTTTTGAATCTTCTTTGAAAACTTTTGGCAAATATCCGCAGACATCTATTTTTTAAAATCTTCTAGTATTTCCTGCCTTGCAATTAGGAAATCTGAATATGACAAAGGAATCATGTTGCAATGGAAAGAACACTGGGATAAGCCCAGATTTAAATTCTACATCTACCACGAATTAATTGTGTGATTTTGAATAAGTCTCCTCACATCTTTGGGCCTCATTTACCTAAAAAAAGTGTGTTGGACTAACTCTGAAATTCAATATTCACCTCTGAAATTTTCTGTTTCTATGAAATTACAAGACAAAGTTTAAACAATGGGCATGCCAATTACCATTTTAAGCCTGAAAACTGAATACTAAAAACTTAGAGGAAAGGAGATAATTTCTTTTCTGTCTTAGGTAACTCCCTCGTATTTTGCAGGGATATTTGGATCTCTGTTATTTTTCAGCTCTTTGATTATATCCAGAAACCTAAACCTTATGGATAACATGCGGAAAATGATCTAGCCAACTGCTAAATCTAAACTCCTTAAGCAAGTTAAACACTTCCCCTCTTTTCTCTGAGATGGCTTTATCATTGGTATGTACTCTTCCTATTGTGTGGGCTCCATATGTTAGAGATGCTGTTACTTAATGATTCATGGTCTCATATTCTCCCCAACATCTTAGAGAAACTCTGCCTGAAGTTGAGTTTGTCAAATGGCACTTTCTGTATCAAAACCACTGGTCTTCCTAACTCACTGCCTGGGATACAGTAGCATGAAAAGTGAAATATTGGGCAGAATTAGGACCATTATATTTTCCTGCAATTAAAGTGTTCTGTGTGGACGCTCAGTCTCCACAAGGAACAAAAGGATGATGGATTTCTAAGCCCTTTTCTGATATTATAAGGTAACCCTTGCCTATCTGGGAGCAGAGTAATTAAAATGTGCACAACTAGGTTTTCAGATATGGAGGGAGGGAAAGGAAGGAAAGGAGCAAAAAAAAATAGATTTTAGAGCAAGGGAGAATAGGAAGATGAGGAAGGATTAAAGGAGAGTAAAGGCACCTTGAACATTTGCCCTGAGCTGCATGCTAAGAAAACCTAGAACAAGGATGGTCTATGAAAAAGGAAAAAAAAGTTTGGAATTTGATAGCAGGTTTGACCAAGACACAAAGAAACAAGGACTGAGAACCAATAGAAAAAGGACCTGGCTTCCTTTGTATTAAGAAGAGTTTTAGTTCAGACTGAGTATAAAAGTAAGAGTGAGCTAGGAAAAACAGGAAGGGCTGTTGAGTATAATTTTTCTATTAACTTGTGAGTAGCATGGTTGTACCTATAATTACATTTATATAGATATTCTGCCTTGAGATCTTTTGCCACTGTAGCCTGGTAGCTTTTGTCTTCTCACCGTTGTACCTATGCTATATACCACAGAAAACACTGTATGAGGGGAATACTACTGGAGAGTTAAGGGGGAAAGTGAAGGTGCCAAGAACATGAGAAGATTGAACCTGGTTTGGGTAAATGGGAAACCGACTAGTGGGATTGGGGAACCTTTTCTTGGGGCTATTTGTTACAGGGCTTAAAAGAAGAAGACTGAGATAGAATGAAATCAGTCTCTAAATGATGAATCACATCAACAGAGTTAAGACGAATTTATTTACCAAATCCTGGTATGTTAGAATTTAGGAACACTGTTTAATGCTTGAAAGAAATAGCCATAAATTAAGAAACAAAGAATTACCATTTTATGATAGTAAATTCAGAGAACTCACCACTATGGGATTATACAAGCTAAAAACAAACAGAATCAAGGTTTTAAATATGTTCATAAATGATACTTAACTCTGATGGGACCTCTACATTCTCACCTCTGGAAAACTGCAAACAGTGTGACCAATTGCCCTCTTGGATCACCCTCCCAAACTCTTTATCTCTGGTTACTTCCTAGAAGCTCTACAGAAATTCTGTAGAAATCTGCCATCATGACTAATCTTTTACGGAAATCATTTTAAGCCTCCTTTTCAAAAAGAGTGATCTATACATTTATAGGGGTGATGTTTTACAAATATAAACTGTCTCTTCCCAGCTCAATTTCTTCCATTGGATTCATTCTATGGCACTTCATTGTTTGGCTCTTACTGTGAATTTGTCCCTTAAAAATATGTATGCACTGCTGCCTACACATTGGAAAGACATTTGCTATTTGATTGTTATATACCTCAAGAGTTTTATGTCTGTCATATAAAATCATAATTATTGAATCTCTGAGATAGAAGGGACCTCAGAGGTCATCTTGTCCAAGCATACCTACAAGAATTATCTTTACAAAAACACTCAATAGTCATCCAAGTTTTTGCTGAAAGACTTTGAATGAAGGGGAATTCATATGTGAGTTTCAGTTCAGAGTTATACCAAGATCCATTGGGCTTTCCTGACCTTAGCTAATGGAGAGAGAGGGAAAGGGAGTTTGGGGTAGAGGACAGGCCAAGAGGAGGTTGATTTTAAGTCCAGATGCCTGGAAATGACTGACAACCCAAGAACAGCTTACAAGTCTTCTTCCAATTCAACCACTCCTGTTGCCTATTGTCTCTAGACTATGCGATGGAGATAGAAAGTAGTAAGCCAATGTTACAAGCTATTGGGAATACTCAATTTTCTAGCCTCTTTTTTTTTCCACTCACCTGTCATAAAATCCCAAGATCACAGGATCATGGGATTTAAAGCTGAATGGAACTCTGTCCTTGCTATTTGCCCTCAGCTACAAGGCTGATTCTGCTGCTTACTACATTTTTTCACTTTGGACAATTGAATTCTCCCAGCTATAAAATGAAAAGGTTGGGCTAGATTAGCAATTCTCAAAGTGTGGTCCAAAGATCCTTGGGGATCCCCAGGATAAAAACTATTTTCATAATAATCTAAGATGCTGTTTGCCTATTAAAATATCCTCCTTTCCAACTATCTATCTGTGTGAGGCTGGATTTTCTTCATATACTTTAACCAAAACAGTATACAGCAGCAGATTAAATGCAAAAGCAATTACAAAAATATGTCTTCTTTTAAACCAGAAATTAAAGAGATTCACAAAAATTTATAAAACAATGCCACTTTCCTCACTAAAATATTGTTACTTTTTGTAAAAACAATATGCTATTTATGTTAACATCATGGATTTATTATTGCTATTTTAAAATTAATTAATAAACATTTAAAATTTATTAATTTTAATGTCTAACATGGTAAAAATTGATAGAAATAGCCCATATAAACAAAAGCTCTTTGTAATCCTCAATAACTGTTGAGAGTGTAAGGGGTCTTGAGACCAAAAAGTTTGAGAACCACTGGGCTAGATGATTTCTAAGATTCCATCCAATCCTAAAATCTATGATCCTATGATTCAAAAGAGAAAAAAGAAGTTACCTAACAACCACCAAGTTCACTTCATGGTACCTGGTGCATAGGAATTGGGAAGGGAACTGGACCCATGACATTATTGCTATAGGGGACTCCCAAAGGAGGAAACCCCTTCTACTAATGCAGACTGACACCTTCTCAGCAACTTAAGTCCAAAGAGAGTGGCCTAGAGATGAGTGGTTAAGTGACTTTGCCCGAGGTCATTCAGCCAGTATGTGTCACACAGCTTGAACCCTGGCCATCTTTGCTCTGAGGCCAGCTCTTGATCCACAGTAGGTCACAGCAATTTCTAAAGAGAGTCCTTAAAGAGGGACTTGAAACCTAGACTCTTTGATTAAAAGTCTGATGCAGTACTCACCACTATCCAAGTTTGTAATAGGTACATAGTGAGTGCTTTAAAACTGCTTATTGATTTACTAATTGAGTGAAGTTATCATCCTACTTGGGGTATCTAGGTGGCACAGCAGTTAGAGTGCCCTGCCTGGAGTCAGGAAGACTCATCTTCCTGAGTTCAAATTTGGCCTTAGACATTTACTAGCTATGTGACTCGGCAAATCACTTAGTGCCGTTTGCCTTAGTTTCCTCATCTGTAAAATGGAGAAGGAAATGGCAAACCACTCCAGTATCTTTGCTAAGAAAACCCCAAATGGAGTCATGGAGAGTTAGACATGACTAAAACAATTCAACATTACCCTACTTCCTCCTTACCCTCTCCCCCAAACGTAGCATCCCACCCACACTACTAGAGTATGTCAGAGACTGACAAGCCATAACACCATGCATATTCCTAAAATATAATAAAAGAGCTCCTTGAATCCTTGAATTCTGAATCCTCCAAAATCTCCAGTCCTTTCTGATTCTCTCTATTGAGTATCAAATCTCATCCCCCATTTATACCAATATGCATAAAACTTCTTTCCCACTAAAGCCTTGGAAACCTTCCTTTTTCTTTACCATTGTTAAGCTCGTCTCCCAAAAGCAGTGTTCCATCATGGCCCCGGTGTAATTTACAAACAAATTCATTTTATCTGAGACTTTATAGCCTGTTATTGCAAAACTCTCTTGGGGCCCAGGTTAGCAAGTGCCCTATTAGGCATAGAATTGAAAGCCCTCTACCTAGTTCTTACATTCTTCTCTAGAAAAGCCAAGTTTGGGGCAGCAAAATACTTACATTACCCTAATTGAGAAAGGAAATGCCACCACCTGGGATAATGTACCCCACAGAGCAACTGGTTAGAGCTGCTGCTACTTTCTTTGTTCTGTGAGATCTCAGAATTCTGGGACATCCAATGTTTCAGGAAGCTTCTGTATTGAGACTTCCCTTGCTCAGACTTGCTGGGTCTTAGGCCTAGATACATTCTGGCCTA